ACTTTTTTTTTTCTTTGGTCGTTTCTTGGTTTCCATATTTGTTTAGTTACTCTCTCTGTATGGGGGTTTCCTTGTTTGTTTAGTTACTCTCTCTGTATGGGGGTTTCCTTGTTTGTTTATTTACTCTCTCTGTATGGGAGTTTCCATGTTTGTTTATTTACTCTCTCTGTATGGGAGTTTCCATGTTTGTTTATTTACTCTCTCTGTATGGGAGTTTCCATGTTTGTTTATTTACTCTCTCTGTATGGGAGTTTCCTTGTTTGTTTAGTTACTCTCTCTGTATGGGGGTTTCCATGTTTGTTTAGTTACTCTCTCTGTATGGGAGTTTCCTTGTTTGTTTAGTTACTCTCTCTGTATGGGAGTTTCCTTGTTTGTTTAGTTACTCTCTCTGTATGGGGGTTTCCTTGTTTGTTTAGTTACTCTCTCTGTATGGGGGTTTCCATGTTTGTTTAGTTACTCTCTCTGTATGGGAGTTTCCTTGTTTGTTTAGTTACTCTCTCTGTATGGGAGTTTCCTTGTTTGTTTAGTTACTCTCTCTGTATGGGAGTTTCCTTGTTTGTTTAGTTACTCTCTCTGTATGGGGGTTTCCTTGTTTTTTTAGTTACTCTCTCTGTATGGGGGTTTCCATCAAACACTACCTCATTTGATTTCTTTTCCTTCCACGATACTCTTAACAGTCTCCTAAGAAACCACATTTCTGTAACTTCTTTTTTATTTTCACTGTCTTTGGTGATTGTCCAGCATTCACAGCCATATAGAAGGGTTGATCAAACTTAGCATTTCAGGACTTTCATTTTGGTGTTTATTGAGATGTTTCTATTTTTCAGGATTGGGCTCTTTTTATTGAAATTAGCCTTAGCCATTGTAGTTCTCCTTTTTATTTCTGTGGAACATTTGGCGTCAGATGTTATCATATATCCTAGATATTTAAACTGTTGGACTCGTTTGACTCTCTCGGTTTTTTTGGTTTGTTTGATTGTTTTTTTTTTGTCTTCTAACTTTTTTGTTTGTTTGCTCTCTAAGTGTTTTGCTTTTTTTCCACATTACAAACTGCTTTGTTTATTTTGTAAAATGTTTCTTTCTAATGGTTATGCTGTGTTTTCTCCCTCTCCTATAGTGTTTGTTTGTTTGTTGTTTTTTTGTTCATTTGGTTTCCTAGTGGGGGGGG